TCCCCCACAAGTCCAAAGACATGCTGTACAGGTGAATTGGTTAAGCTAAATTGTCTGTAGTGTATGAGAGTGGATGAGAGTTTATGGATGTTTCCCAGTTATGGGTTGCAGCTGGATCATGCGTTAAACTTAAGCTGGAAAAGTTGGCAGTTTATTCCGCTGTGGTTACCCCAGATTTATAAAGGGACTAAGCGGAAAAGAGAAGGAATGAATGAATGATTTGTGTTGGGACAACATGAAGGAATAGTGTGGAACCCAGCATTTTTTACATGCCTGTATGTTATGAGTAACTTGTCCTGTGTGTTTATATATATATATATATATATATATATATATATATATATATATATATATATATATATATATATATATATATACACATATACCTATATACACACAACCCTTGTTACCTCTGCCAAATTTTATCTGTTTTTTTTTTTTTTTATGTCGCTGCAAACCCTGAGCTTATTACCGTCTTGTCTAAAAAAGTTAGTACACTGTAAAAAAATTTGCAGTTTTCCACATTTTGTGATTCATGATTTTATTTTTTATTTTTCCCCATATATTTATGCTTTTGAATTGCATTATGTGACCTTGATCTTTCCTCCAACAACTTTTACCCTTGAAAAGTTTGAGAAAGTAACTTTTATTTACATAGTTTAAGGTGATAATAGTTTTTAGTTTAAGGTGATATATTGTCTTGGTTGGTGTTGCATATTCCTGCACAAAACCTTGTAATCATATGCCAGTACATTTGTTGTTATTTTAAAGAGTTATTTCTCTATATATTTTTCTGATACATTCTAGTAATTTCAAACTACTACAATGTCTAGTTTTGGCCAGAGGAGAAATGATCTTGTCCAATTAAAGGCTCCTGCACACCGGGACGCTTTTCGTGTAAGTTTATCGTCAGCATTTTACGAGATGTTTTTCCGCATTCAAACCCACGCGATTTTCACTGGCATCAAGCAGAAGAGTATGCAAAATCCCTTCTTGACGTTAGATGGCGCTACACAACTTTAAGCTTCCGACACCCGCTTGTAACACAGAAGAAGAGGAAGAGAGGAAGTTCACATGCTTGTTGTTAAAGTTACAAGTGACTCGAACAAGCATAGATGGTTCAAGCAGCAGCTTCAGCTCTAGCGATGAAGAAATTATTTTTGCTCAGCAGAGCAATAAGCAGCTCCACGTTCATATCGCCTCTGGGCATCTTCTTCAATGTGTGCTTGCATTGACAGTTTTGTGCTTGAGCGCCTCCAAGTGCTGTTTACTGTAACCAAAGAGCTTAGAACGACCAAGAGGCGACACTCAATAGAACGTTCCATTTCAAAAGCAGCGCCTAGCAACAGCCCTGAATTCCGGCATTTTGGATGAAAGTGATCAGCCGTCCATTGGATCTTATTACTGTCACGATGGCAAGCAGCCGCTTTGTTTTTTATTTATTTATTTATCGCATTAAAGCTGAGATACAACCTGAAAGAAGACAATACAACATTTATTATCACAATCATCAGCACTTTTAATAGTTTATTTTACAGACTTATAATATGCTGTTGTTCTATTGGAGTTTTCATTCCAAAATGGCCGATGACATTAATGGCTGTTTACCAAATTACACTAGAGTGTCGCCTCTTGGTCATTCTAAGCTCTTTGCTGTAACTTCAGCAGCTCTGTCTACGTGAACTAATGTGTCAATCTGATTGAAGGAGAAGGTTTTAACGCGGCGCTTAAAATAAAAATAAAAACTATCATAACACGTTTTTTTTTTTTTTAAATGACGCTTTTGCGCCTGGCGTTTTGCACAATGGTGTGCACGATCAAATTCACGCGCTTTACATAGTCACGAGGCATTAAACGTTGACGGAAAACGTGAGCAAAAACGTCTCGGTGTGCACGGGCCTTAAACCAGGTTTCTCTCAAGGTTTTTTGTTCTTCATTTTTGTTAGTTGGTGAAGTTTGTTTCTCGCCACTGGTTTGCTCAGTTTGGGACTTGTGGACCTGCACATTGATGGATTTACTCTTCAGTGTCTGGACTTTCAGCAAAGAAAATTAAACCACACTGAACTGAACTAAACTAAACTGCAGCTCTGAAAACTGGACTAAGGCGTTTGCAATTGACTTGAACTTCTTTTAAGCTGCTTTGACACAATTTACATTATAAAAGCGCTATAGAAATAAAGGTAAAATAAACTTTATTGAATTTAATGTCACTTTGTTAAACGGTAGTTGAATTTTCAACATTAAAAGTCGACAGAGCAGAGATCAAAATTCCATACAGCAATTCACAACCGCAAATAAACATAAAACTCTTGTGAATCACAAAATACAGACGCTGTTAAATAAGAGATTTGTTTTTATAGTGTAGTATCTGCACATAGATCCACCTCTTCCCTTTGCCTCGACCACTCATAAATACATGTACCCTTTAAATGAATATACTGTATGTTTTCTCTTGTTTATTTCCCCCCCTGTATTCCCCTAGGTTTGTCAGTGTGTTTTGAGTGGCATGTATATATAACGGGCTGGAAATAATGCAGTTGTTAGTGTCAGCTGCATGCTGGGAGTCTGAGGGTTATTGAAACACAAGGTTCTTCTCTCTCAATCCTGTGTGCAGCATCAGCTGGGAGGCCGACAGAACCTGAATGTCTCGAAAACAATTCCAGTCTGTGTGGGCAGGTGGCTAAACGACTCGCTTATATTTTATTTATCATGTTGTGAAAATGCGATTCCAGCAAACAGATCACATTTTGTCCCATGAGTTCCTCCATGTAAATGCAGGGCAATGGGTTGAGACGTGCTTTCCTGTTTTATTACATGCTGAGACATCACAGAGATGTGTTTTGCTGCTCGCTATGCATTACTCTTCTTTTGACAATCCAGGGTTGAAGATCGGGGCTTTTTATTTAGTTAAAGCTATGACTTACTGGGTAGTAATGCAGGTAGTTTGTGGTGTTTCTTTAAATGTTTTATATAATATTTACATATGTAATGGAAATAACTTTTTTATTATAATTTTGTTTTTTGTTATCATAAAATATAACCAATGTACCAGTTGTATATTTTATAACAACAAAAACAACAACATTAAGAGTAATAATAATAATAGTAATAATAATAATAATAATAATAATTATTATTTTTATTATTATTTCATGTTATCTTGTAACAATTTTACAACACAACCAAACCAAAGTAAAACCAATGTACAGTCATAAGTATTATTATGATTAATAATGATAATTATATATATATAACATAATAATAATAAACAGTAAATAACAGTAAATCCAAACCAAAGAATAAACAAATTTGTATTTATTTTTTATTTGATACAATTTTATCTTTTTTTAAATTGAAAAGTGAAGAATTTACTGTAGTGTTTTTAAGAGTATTGTTTTATTTATTGTTTGGTGCCTATTTTACATTATTGAAAAAATGTAATTCTAAAATAAGATTTAAAGTGTCCATTGATTTCAGATTTAGTTTTTGGTTTGAACGAATACATTTTGACACAATGTAGCTTTTATTAGTGGCACGGTGGCACAGTGGGTAGCGCTGTCGCCTCACTGCAAGAAGGTCACTGGTTCGAGCCCTGGCTGGGTCAGTTGGCATTTTTGTGTGGACTTTGCATGTTCTCCCCGTGTTCACGTTGGTTTCTTCCAGATGCTCCGGTTTCCCCCAAAGACAAAAGTCTGGTTTCCCCCAAAGTCCAAAGACATGCGCTAGGTGAATTGGGTTAGCTAAATTGTCTGTAGTGTATGTGGTTTTTTGTCCTGGTCCTCCAGGTTGGGAGTTGAAAATTGGGCTAGCGAGCCACCTTGTAAAAATTAGATGTTACGAAACACCAACATGGTGTGGCTAAATATACTTAAAATATACTTAGAACCTTGATATAAACGGCCCTGGGAGTAAGTATATCTTTTATATCTAAAATCTAAAAAGTTTTTAAAAAGTACAGTATTTACATGTGTACAAATATACATAAATACAGTGTATAAATACAGCATTTATTTATATTTATTCTCTGTAAAAAAAAAAGTGTTGCCTAAAAGCTTTTGTTGAATCAACTGATCTTTTCTGGTCATCATGAATGTACAGTTGAAGTCAGAATTATTACTCCCCAAAATGATGTTTAACACAGCAAGGAAATTAGTGTGTCTGATAATATTTTTTTTTTCTGGAGAAAGTCTTATTTGCTTAATTTTGTCTAAAATAAAGCAGTTATTAATTTTTTAAACACCATTTTAAGGTCAAAATTATTAGGCCCTTTTAAGCAATTTTTTCCCCCCGATAGTCTACAGAACAAACCATCGTTATACAGTAACATGCCTAATTACCCTAACCTGCCCAGTTTACCTAATTGCCTTAGTTAAGTCTTTAAATGTCACTTTAGGCTAAGTGTCTTAAAAAATATCTAGTAAAATATTATTTACTGTCATCATGGCAAAGATAAAATAAATCAGTTATTAGAAATGAGTTATTAAAACTATTATGTTTAGAAATGTATTGAAAAAAATCTCTCCGTTAAACAGAAATTGGGGGGAAAATAACCAGGGGGGCTAATAATTCAGAGGGCTAATAAATTCTGACTTCAACTGTACATCATTCAAACTGACAAAATATGTTAAGTTAAACTTTGTATAACTAAAAAAGCTATAAATATAACATAAAACATTTGTTGTCTGGACTTTTTGTCATATAATTGTATTTTTTTTGCTATATATGTTTTTTAAGTAGACATTCTGGTGAAGCCTACATATGCTGTTGTCTCACTATAATATATGCTGTTGTCTCAGTATGTTTCAGCAGGGAATAACATTCTGAAACCCTTAGAAATAATAAAACTGAAATGGTGACAAGGTGCCGTAAGAGTATGTCCCTAGACTGTAGATATATGGATGTTTTTTCATTTCATTCCTTTAGTGCTGTGATCTCAGTGCTGTCTAAGTTTGACCATCGGCCCGTGCCCTGTGGCGGCCTGTCGTTTGCTGTGTTGGCAGGGTACGGCTTGAGGCCTTTTCGGACAACAGCGGGAAGCTCCAGCTGTCCCTACAGGAGATCATCGAATGGCTGACAGCTAAAGACGAGGAGCTGTCCGAGCAGCTGCCCATCGGAGGAGACGTCGGGGCAGTGCAGCACCAGCGGGAGTTTCACCAGGTTGGCTGAACACACTCACTCATGCTGTCTTCCCTCGCATTAGCATATCTCTTCTCTTGCTGACTTCGCGCTTGAACACGGTTAATCTTGTCATCTATCAACATAACAGAGTCAATTCAATATTTAAGACTGCAATATGGCAGCAGGAGCTCAGAAGGGATGACATTAAATATCCGAGCCCACCCACCTGTAAGTTAATAAAAAGCCTTGGAATCCATTATCAAGATGCAAAAGTAGACCTGAATAAAACATGTTAATTGAAAACCGGAAACCCCCCTCTGTTTATAACTCACAAAGAGATCAACAATTAATAGAACAAAAAGAACAGAGGTGGCAAAATATGCATTCGGAGTTAGTCGTTTAAGATGTGTGTTATTTGATCTATTATTCTTGATTTATTTGTCCAATTAAAGAGTCAATTAATGACAATGAATATACTGCCATCATTTATCAAACCTGTGCTCAGTAGTTAAAGTTAGCTACTCTGCATTTTCACACAGCTGAATAGGTCAAAGGTATGTCGTTTGTAACAGACTTAGAGCTCTATTTTAACAATCTAGGCGCAAAGTCTAAGCACATGGTGCAAAAGCAATAACGGCATGTCTGTATACACTATTGCTATTTTAAGGACTGAAAAATACAGTTTGTGCCGTGGCGCATGGTCTAACAGGGTTGGGCTTATTCTCTTAATGAGTCATGGGTGTGTTTTGAGCATAACATGCATTAAACCAATCAGAATCTCATCTCCCATTCCTTTTAAGAGTCAGTTGCGTCACGCCATGGCGCATTTGCTTTTTACAAGGCGGACTTTGTAAGTGGAAAAACTGAATGCTTCACTAGCGAAAAAAGAGTTAAACAGACCACCTACAGCGTTAGGATAAAGAACAAGCCTCTTCCATTCAGTCTCTTTACTTTCTTTTTACTTTTACTCCTTTACTTTCATCGATAAGGAAACGGTGTTGTACTCACTCCACTGAAGACATCCATTAGCCTACATATTTCATTTAGTTTGTTAAGCTCGAAAATTTGTTTAAAAACTATTTCTAAATTCAGTTGTAATTTCCAGCAAACGAATAAATGAACAATAATAATGAAGAGTGGTCAAAAAACTTGGAGTTAAATCCAAATACACGTCCTATTCTTATGCCCTATGGTGATGAGTTTGTCTCCAAAACCTGACAGATAGGCAAATCTAAACTTGTTTTTATTAAAACAAATATAAATATACATATAAATAATAATAATAATAATAATAATAATAATAATAATGAATAATAATAATAATAATAAAATTATACAAATGCAAATTATCATGAATAAACTGAAAAAAAAACCTGAGATGAGGAATTCATAGAGGTAGTGATTTTTATATTTATATAGAACATTTGAATCCTTTAATGTTTTTTCATATGTAAAGATATTTGTGTATTGCTGTACATTCTGTGTGTATTAAGCAATGTGTAAGCATTTGGACTTGCATAAGCACATAACTAACATTTGCTTATTATAATAATCTGTAGTTTGCATTCTTACAACTGGCTTTGATGAGCTGAGAGAGGATCATGTGAACTCTACTGGTGCTCCTATTGGCTGTCGCTCAATAAATTTGTTCTTCATTTGCATAAAGTTGAAGGATTCTCAACTTTGTCGCATCGCTCCATACACCCAATGCTCGCTGTCAACAGAGGTCACCAAAAGTCACTATCTCTCGGCCAGGGGTGTCTAAACTCTGTCCTGGAGGGCTGGTGTCCTGCAAAGTTTAGTTCCAACCCCAATCAGACACATCTGGGCTACCTAATCAAGCTCTTACTAGGCTTTCTAGAAACATCCTTGCAGGTGTATTGAGGCAAGTCGGAGCTAAATTCTGCAGGACACCGGCCCTCCAGGACTGAGTTTGGACACCCCTGGCATAGACGATGGTCGACGGAAGTTGCTCACTCTCTGTTGAAATAAACACTTGCTTGTCGATTTGCCACTGCAAGGTGCTCATAGTGCGAATAAGGCTTAATGTCGGTCTCGTTTTAAAAATAAAAGTACCACAAACCCAGTTAACACAAGCTTAAACTTAAAAATAGGCTAAATACTAATATTGTTGTAATCTCACTGAGAAACATTGTAGCCAATCATGTGTATATATATTTCTAATCTTATGTGGATCATCAGAGCTGGGGTTTTTGTTTGTATTGGCCTGTTTTTCACTGGGATTTTACACTTAAAATTTACACGACAGCAAGGAAACAATCGTGTTCGAGGCATATGGTCTGTCAATTCCATGTACCGAAGTTGTATTATGTAGCTATCCTTATAAGTATACGCAAATTTTCAATCTATGGCACCTGTACAATCACTATCTGGGTATCTCAAAATGAACCTAAAAACACAAAATATTAATCATGTAAATTTTGTTTGAGAAATAAATCTAGATTTTCATTTCTTACTCATAAAAAAGATTGAATCAGTGATTGACTTTAATCAGTATGTGAGGGAATTACAGAAATGGATTACCTGATTCATTGAAGTGATCTGACTCAAAACAAAGCTTCGTTCATGGATCACATCACTACTTTGCAGAGAAACTCAGATGAACCAAGAAAAGCAGGGGTGGATGTCAGGATTTTGTGTCATTTGGGTTTAAAAATGATGAGCGATTTGTCATTTTAGGTGAGTTCTGGCTTTAAATATGTACCACTCTCCTGCACACACACATTAAATTTAGCATTCAAACATGTTCTTTCTCCCAGTTTACAAACCCACTCTCCCAGATAAACAGACGCCTTGTAATTGGTCCTGTACTACTGCAGGATACTGTTTCCATCTTAGCACCAATTTCCAGTGCTGTCAGCTGAATAAAGCAGGGGGGAAAAGCAGTACTGTGAGGAGAGAGAGAGAGAGAGAGAGAGAGAGAGAGAGAGAGAGAGAGAGAGAGAGAGAGAGAGAGAGAGAGAGAGAGAGATCTTTTTCTCTGTGACTGACACATTGAGAAATCAGCCTCCAAATTAAAAGGCCTGCAACTCACTGTCCTTTTCTTGGCTCTCACTTGTTTCTGCCAAAAATATACATCACTTTACTTGTATGCTAGGGTATGCATTTATAGTTGAGATCAAAAGTAGAAAGCTATTTATAAACAGTTGATCAAAGTAATGTAGTCTTCATCATTTAAAAAATGAAGAAATTTAACTTGTATTTACAGTATGCTACTAGAACAGAGTTTTACTAAATAACCAAGGTGCTTCTACAAAACAAACAAAACAAAACACAGTATAACACAAGCCTTAATAGACTTTAAAATAAGTGAAATACTAATATTGTTGTAATCTCACTGGAAAACATTGTAGCCAATCATGGTCATGCATGTTAATGATCCTGTGTGTATTAACAGAGCTGGGGTTTTTCTTTGAATTTATCTGTTTTTCGCTGGGATTTTACATTCAGAATTTACATGAAAACAGGGAAGCAATTGTGCTTGAGGCTCACTCACAGTATGTTATTCACTTTTTGTAGAAAACAGAGTGATCAAAATTGAACAACAATAATTGTAGCAAGAAGAAAGATTACAGATGAAATTTTAGAAGGTTACAACAGCAAGTCACACATTTGTGAGAATTGTTCAGCTGTCAGGTTACCTATAATAGATTTTTTCAGGTATTTAAAGAAATTTCAGCTGCTTATTAACCAATAATTGGGGGGAATCTGAATGTGTTATTTCATTTTGATCTGTTTTTTTTTTCAAATAAGTATTAATTTGTTCTTTTTTAACACAAACACATTTTTGTGATTAATAATTTATAAAACCTTCTAAAAAAGTCTCTTTTACTTCTGCTAGAACTACATCAAATAGGACTAGACAGTGATCTTAAAATTTGGGAAATTTTAGGTTGTTTTATTAGTGCAGGTAACACAATTTTGTCATTAGGACATTATATGCACATCCCAGAATGATTTTTATAACTCTGCATACAATTTATGTGCATTACACAGCATTTACACGGGGCTTCAGCGTCAACGCTTGACAGAGGGCGTGTCTGAAGTTGGGGCTGACATGATCGTCATAGCAGTGTCAGCCAATAAAATTAGTCAGCAATAGGCCACTCTCTGCGCTGGTGTATTTGCATACAGCGATCTGATTGGCTGACGCTTCCATCGGCGCCTGAAAAGTTGAGCAAGTCCCAACTTCTGCAACGAGCAACACCTCTGAAGCGGCGCAGATGGATCTACAATGCAGTTCGGCAACGCCTGACGTTACCTATTCAAAGAGAATAAGAAGCGTTGAAGCTGACGCCCCGTGTGAATGGGGCCTTACTGTGTGGGTTTGGTTTAGAGATGGCGTTGGAGTAGGCGTTAATAAATTACAATGCAATGGGTAATTTCCTTCAGCTTAGTTCCTTATTTATCAGGGGTCATCACAGAGGAATGAACTGGCAACTATTCCAGCATATGTTTTACGCAACAGATGCCCTTCCAGCTGCAACACAGTACTGGGTAACTCAATGGGTAATTTAATAAATAATATGAATAATACTGAATATGAATACAAATGTGAATAATACTGAATAATGTTTTTACATTACTGTGTTTGCTTGTGGTTTGGATATGGGTAGATGTTAATATAATACAATTAATAAATAATATCAATAATTTCTATTAACTTCTGGCCACAGCTGTATCTCTTCTAGCACAAGTTGTTTTCCCGTAATGCACAGTACTTTTTGCAGTTGGGTCTGTTCGGGTCCAGATCATGTTTCCAACACAAACTAACTGCTTCGGATTTAATTTTGAAAGCGTATCAGGACCTTCTTGAAGAGGTGGTCTGCTTTTAGTGCCCAAATGAACCAGACTAAAAGGGAAAATGAACTCAAGTATGAATCATCCGAACTAAATTAGGACATTTTTTGTTGCTCATAACTTTTGAAGAGAAAAAGACAGACACTGGACAAGGGTTCATCTGTCTATGGTGCAGTTCTCGCATACAATCACATGGAAAGTAATATGAAAGGCTGTCATTGGATTGCATGCATTAGTGCATACACTAATGTATGCGCATAAAAACGAAGTATACTTGGTGCTTTATTTCTCCATTTTTTTTTGCTCTTAATGCAATAAGCACATGCACATATGCACAGCCTATCCTCGCTCATTCCACCTGTCACATACTGTTCTCTTTTCCCCTAATTCACCCTGATCGTGTTCCCAATGTGCCACATCGCTCTAAAACTTTTCTGACAAAGAAGGGAGCAAAATCATATATGCTGCTCTGCAGAGAATTACAGCGTTTTAAGAAAATTAAATAATTGATCATAAGTGGATTTCTTCCTCTGCGTTTTTATATCAGACTCTTTTTGTCTTCCCCTCTGATAATTTCTTTCAGGTTTTGTTGATAGATTTAAATATGTTGGGTGTGTTGTTTGCTTTAAAACGTTTGCTGTTTTAAAATGTATGCTGAGGCTTGTCCTTAAAGTCAAATCATAAGTTCATCCCCCGAGTCTTCAAACACTAAATAGACACCATCATTCACTTGATTAAGAGAAACAGGAGAGATGCCAACAGACAAAAAGATCCACTTCTTACAGCTTTTCCAACAAATTTATAATTAATACACGAGTGATCTTAAGTCTTTATTTTTGTTCACTCAGCCAAAGACCTCTGGAGGATGAAGTTTAGCTACTATTAAAGTTTCACACTGAGTGGAATAAAAAACATTTTCAGGCCTCGGTTATTACATAGAATAGCAAGACGCGGACAAGAGGGCAAGCTTTTCACAAAGACCCCTCAGGAGACCTCTTGATTCCAGCTGCCCGGCAGTTCATTTTTATTTTTAGCTGTGTGATTTCGATTTACAGTTTCTTGATAGCTAATTCAGTTTGTGCAAATGTGGGTGGAGGTTTCAAGGACATGGTACATGCTATTGAGAAGAGCTCCAAATATTTCTTAGTATCCATAATCTGGATGCTGGGTAATTCCTTTGGTAATAAAAAAAGATCAAATGAATAGTCATCTATTGGATCATCCAAATAAATGATTTTTATGTGAGGGAGAAATACAGTTGAAGTCAGAATTAGTTGCCCTCCTGAATTATTAGCTCCCTGTATATATATTTTTTTAAATTTCTGTTTAACGAAAAGATTTTTCAACACATTTCTAAACAAAATAGTTTTAATAACTAATTAACTAATAACTGATTTATTTTATCTTTGCCATAATGACAGTACGTAATATTTGACTAGATATTTTTCAATATCCTAGTATTTGGCTAAATTTGTTTAAAGGCTTGACTGTGACAGGGATAAAATGTAAACAGATCCAAATGCAAGTAAAAGTTTATTAGTTGAATTGCTTGGTACAATATACAAGGAACAATGGCTGACGGTAACTCCGGTAGCATGGGACGCAAGATAACTCACAAGTCCTGGGGGACAACAGAACGAGACCTGAAACACAGGAACAAACATAATTGCTGAAGGGTGAGAAACAGAATCCTTAAGAAGGTCTCAATAATAAGTTGCCGGTGACCCCACTGATTAGTCAGCTGACTGGAACGCACACTGTCAAGGAAAGGTAAACAAACACTGCCATGCGACAGACATAACAACAAAAGAAGAACACGGATATATAAACCGTGACAGTACCCCTCCTCCTAACAGCGTCTCCTGTCATTCTTAGGAGATCTTACTTGGTGATCGTAATCATCAATAAGAGAATGATCCAATATGTCTCTCGCAGATACCCTACTTCTCTCTACACCGTAACCATCACAGTCCTCCAAGTACTGAAATCCGTGCCCCCTCTTTCTTGAGTCTAGAACGGGGGGACGGAAAAAGACGGGTTAATTGCCGTATGAAAAACGGGCTTTAATTTGGAAACATGAAAAACGGGATGAACTCTCCAGTACGTCGGAGGCAATTTGGGGCAAACTGCCACTGGACTAATGATTTTAGTGACAACAAATGGACTAATAAATTTGGTAGCAAGCTTATTACAAATGGTCCAGAGAGGAATGTTCTTGGATGAAAGCCACACTTTTTGACCGACAACTTAAACGGGAGGCTTAGACCAGTGGTGATCGGCGTTAGCCTTGGTGCAATAACCCACCCAGAGTAGGGATAATCTGGCCTGTCTCCAAGTGCGATGGCACCTCTGGACAAATTCGTGAGCATAGAGAGGACCGCGACTTTGGATTCCAGAGTGGGAAAATGGAGATTGGCCCGTGGCAGACACTATCAATGGTTCAGGCTGGTAGTGATGGTGTAATGGTGTGGGGGATATTTTTTTCGGCACACTTTGGGCCTATTAGTACCAATAAATACAGCTGACTGGAACGCACGCTGGCAAGGAAAGGTAAACAAACACTGCCAGCCATGTGACAGACATAACAACATAAGGAGAACACAGATATATGAACTGTGACACTTAACTACTGTAGGTTAACTAGGCAAGTTAGGATAGTTAGGCAAATCATTGTATAAAAGTGGTTTGTTCTGTAGATAATACCAAAAAAATATTGCTTTAGAGTGTCACGTTTCTGGAAGGGAAAGGAGCAAGGACTCAAATGCAGGAAAATAAATGAGTAATTATTAATTATAAAATGAAATCAACAGCAAAAACAAACTACCCCAATGGGGGAAATCATTAACAAAAGGCAAAAAACTTGACTGAGCTGGCAAGGCAGGACACAGCAGGACTGGAACAGGAAGGCAGGAGAAGCATTGATGACGAACTGGCACAGGAGACCAGACAAGAGGGAGCTATAAGGATAAAAAATTAACAAACAAACAGCTGAACTGAATGAACTAATAATGGGTTAACAAGGAGGGTGGGACTAGACAATAGACAGTAGAACACATGACACAAAAAGACAACACAAGCCATGTGCTCACGTAAAATAGGACTAGAACACGCAGCCAAGGAGAGAACTCATTAACCGTGTGTTCACATGAAACACAACATTAAAGCACGTGGCCACAATGTAAACACCGAGCCATGTGCTTTGACAAAACACCAAGACGAGATGCAAGACATGAGTCCACGATTAATAAAAAAACACTTACCGTGCACTCACACATGCAACGTGCGTGTTCCAATCCCAGTGCCAACCAAAACCGAAACAACTAGACGCTGAGGCACTGAGAATAAAACAGACAAAACACACAAACATGAGAGCAAGTGAGCACACGTGAACCGAACCTCCTCTCTACAAAGACACGAACATGCAGCTCACTCAGGAAATCGCACATTCACAACAATGATGAGACACAGAACAATACAGGGTGAGTGCCCGGCCCGAGAAATCTCAAACCGAGCATGACATACAAGACAAGACAAGACTAGCTTCTGAACTCTGCCACCAAAACAAGAATTAACAAGACCGAAGTGGCAAAATCCTGACAAAGAGGGCTAATAATTTTGACCCTAAAGTTTTGTAAAAATTAAAAACTGCTTTTATTCTAGCCAAAACAAAACAATTGAAACATTCTCCAGAAGACAAAAATATTGTAGTAAATACTGTGAAAATGTCTTGCTCTGTTAAACATCACTTAGGAAATATTTGAAAATGAAATAAAAATTCACAGGAGGGCTAATCATTTTGACTTCAACTGTACATTTAAAATGGCACAAGAAATGATTAAATGTATAAAGTTCATATATATATGAACTTATATATATTATATATATTATATAAATATATAGTTTATTTTTGATTTGAGCTTCACATAACCACATTAAGAACCCTTCATTAAATCGTAAATATAAAAACAAAACCGTCTAAATGTATTTTAGTACAGCCTCTGAGGCATAGTTTACCCAAATATAAAAAAGGGCATCATTTACTCGCTTTCGTGTTGTATGACTCATCAAAGGATGCCTCATTAGAGTTTAATCCTGGTTAGAAAATCACTGGGTTTCATTATGTGGACAAAACAGAGGGAAGAATATTGTAAGAATCTCAGTGACATGAGATTTCCCATAAGGATAATCTGTCAATGTTTACTTATGTAAATTTCAATGGCAAGTTCAATTCAGTTCAGTGGATTGACATCTCGGTTTGATGGATGTTTCAAGGCTGTTTATTTGTGTCAGCAAGGCTGCTTTCATGTCAATGCCTATGCATGGTGTTTGATCATGTCAGCGTGACGCACTTGTAAACATCTGCTCTTGTGTGCAGGCTTTCATGGAAGATGTCAAATCCAGAGGGCCCTACATCTACTCAGTGTTGGAGTCGGCTCAGACCTTCCTGGCACAACACCCTTTCCAAGAGCCTGAGGAAACGTTACCTGATGGCAAAGGTTCGTTCCTTAGTCCTATCATTTGTAAATACATTTGACCAAGCATAATGATGATGTTTGATATTTATGTATGATTGGTATGGTTTTTTATGCGTACTCAAGGGTATTCATGCAGTGCATTTAATGTCAACTTTGCAATCAAAACGGTATGTGCATAATACACTCACTGGCCACTTTATTAGGTACACCTGTCCAACTGCCTATTAATGGAAATTTATAATCAGCCAATCCCATGGCAGCAACTCAATGCATTAAGGCATGTAGACATGGTCAAGATGATCTACGATCTGAATGTGGCTGAACTGAGTATTTCAGAAACTGCTGATCCACTGGGATTATCACGCATAACCATCTCTAGGATTTACAGAGAATCCTCTGAGAAACGATCCAGTGAGCGGCTGTTTTGTGGGCGCAAATAGCTTGTTGATTCCAGAGGTCAGAGGAGAATGGCCAAACTGGTTCAAGCTGATAAAAAAAGGCAACAGTAATTCAAATAATCACTCGTTACAACTGAGGTATTCAGCTTCTCTGAATACACAACATGTCCAACCTTGAGGCGGATGGGCTACAGCAGCAGAAAACCACTGCTCTCAGCTAAGAATAGGAAACTGAGGCTGCAATTGGCACAGGCTTATCAAAATTGGACAATACAACATTGGAAAATGGTCTGATGAGTCTTAATTTCTGCTGCGACATTAGGATGATAGAGTCAGAATTTGGCATCAATAACATGAAAGCATGGATCCATTCTGCCTTTCATCAATGGTTCAGGCTGGTGGTGGTGGTATAATACTTTGGGCCCATTAGTACCGTTGTCTCAACACCACAGCCTATCTGATTATTTTTGCTAACCATGTCCATCTCTTTATAACCACAGTGTACCCATCTTCTGATGTCTACCTCTAGCAGGATAACATGTCATAAAGTGTGAATCTTCTCTGACTGTTTTCTTGAATATGACAATGAGTTCACTGTACTCAAATGGCCTCCAGTCACCAGAACTCAATCCATTAGTGCACCTTTGGGATGTGGGGGAACGGGAGATTCGCATCATGAATGTGCAGCCGACAAATCTGCAGCAACTGCATGATGCCATCATGTCAGTATGGACCAAAATCTCTGAGGAATTTTCCAGCACCTTTTTGAATCTATGCCACGAAGGATTAAGGCAGTTCTGAATGCAAAATGAGTCCAACTCGGTACTGAAGTAGTAAGGTGTACCTAATAAAGTGGCCGGTGAGTGTATATGGATGCTGTCAGATTTTTCTAGCACTGTGTATAATGTATGTACTCTCACATTAAACATTGAAATGTTTTTGAATCGGGCTTTTTTTTCTCACAGTTATGAAAAAGGAACGTCAACAGACTACTGAAGATGGCAAAAAATAGATTCTAATAGCAAAAATGAAATTTGTACTTTATTTTAAATAGCTAATAGGCATTTTTATTAATCTTTTTTTTTTTTGGAGACAAAAAGTGCCTACTCTGGGAAAGGATACATCCTTGTAGCAAAGATGTGTTGAATACCTGTACTTTTGTGTTTTTTTCAGCTGTGTATGAAGTATGCTTTAAGTTATAAGTGACTGGTTCAAAATAATTCAGTCAACTGAATTTTTGCTTTTAGATTGCAAGTTTTATTTATGCGAAAATGTTCTGCATTGTTTTAATGAAATGTAACAGATGCCTTATGTCTGGGCAACAGCATGCCAGTTCTTGGAGGCAAAAGTACTGTGCTGAAAAACAAATAATAATGCAGATTTAATTAAATTCAGTAAACATATCCTTTTTTTCAACAAAAATACAGCATTTCATAAGATATTAAGACATGTTTTCATAGATTCGTCTTGATTATGTGTGTCATTCTGATTTTAGCAACATCGCTATTTTTTTAACCTCAATTAAATGTAAAACCCAAAACACTTTCTTTTTCTTTGTCATAATTAAATTGATCGTTCACTCAAAAATGAAAATTTTCTCAAAAATCTTTTGCAGCCAAACTAATTTGTATAACATGTCTTTATTGAGTTTTTTTATATAATAATAACCAAAACTTACCACAGACAGGCTTAGGAAAAACAATCCAAATAATTCAGAGGATTTTTTTCCTTTATTGTAGATGTGAGCTTTTCAAGAGCCAAACATGTTATTAGGTTTCTCAACCAATGGAGGGGCGATTAACATTTTTCCAACATAAAGCAATACAATGGCTTGTATTAAACATAAATCAATCAATTTTCTTTCTTTAGTAGACAAAGCACAACTGTCTTCATACATATTCAATATACATAATCCAGGACATAAAGGAACTGGTATGGAAATAAATTGTGAAATATATTGAGTCACCTCCACCCAAAATCTTTGTACATTCTCACACTTCCACACACAATGAGCAAATGTACCTTGTATCTTCTGGCATTTAAAACAAAGATCAGAAATATTAGGGTTGAATTTACTTAATCTTACAGGAGTAATATAAGTTTTCATTACCCAATTATATTATAGCAATCTTAAACGGGAATTTAATGTATTTGTTTGTGCATTCGAACAAATTATATTCAAATCCTCTACTGGGATATTTATTTATTTTTTAACTTGGATCCATGCTAGTCTTTTATTGTCAGAGTTTTCTTTATGATTTTCTCTTAATATGTTATATAAATGTGTAATTCGTCCTTTGACGGAACAATCTTGTCCTGTAAGAGTTTCCAATAATGACCTTGGGGGGGAGCTGTGTTGAATTTTTTAAATGTGTAAAAATAAAATTTCTTAGTTGTAAATATTTTAAAAAGTGTTTTTGAGGTATATTCAATTTTGCAACAAGATTTTTAAATGACATTATTTTATTGTCTTCATGTTCTTTTAATCTTATTATGACCTTATTCATCCATAATTTAAACCCCATACCGTTTTTAGCGGGACTGAAATTATTATTGCCTCTAATAGGGAAAAAGTAAGAAAGCACTGGGGGTCTTTAAGATATCTATGGGCTTTGTACCAAATTACAATAGTATTTTTTTTACAAATGGATTATCTGTCTTTAGTTCTTTAAAGGTTGCTGATAGTCAAACAAATTTAATAAAAGTGGCTCATGGTGATACATTAAAGTGAAATTATCAATCTTTGCAAGACACTGAACATTTTTTACCACATTATTAGCTTTAATTCACAACCTCAGGAAACTTTCCTAAGTTCAGTCATTACAGCCTGTTGCATAATAATGCTTGTCTAACATTGCAAAGCAGTGAAAACTCTTCTTAAATGAGTTCACGTATGCAAGTGTAATCTTACTTTTTACATATTGTAGATTGCAGCATCAAAATAAGCACAGTTACAATTTTGATGAACAATACAACGCATGCATCTTTACACTCCATTGTAAACAAACAGCTCGTGACTGTTGGCTGCCGAAATGTTTTCACCTGTTTGTGCTGGTAGCCATTGACTTCAATTTTATAAAAGGACTACATTTACTTTAAAATGCTGGATTCGATTTGAGTTGGGACAACATGAAACAATTAAGTTCAATTAATAGTTTTTGCAAATTTAAGCAGATTGAATATACGTCAAAGTCGAGTCGAGCTTCATTTTATCATAAAAAAATGTTTAACATCAAACTCTGGCACCTGGCCATTGACAGAAAACACTCCAGGTACTATAATCGAACATTTACCCGGCACAGGCACATAGATATTACACTGCCTGATGAGAAATTGCCTCATCTCATGTAGGCCATCAACCTAGTTCTGCATCCACATGTCATCATGAGTGTGTCTGTGTCACATGGGGGAATTAATAATGGAAAGATCAGTGCTGTTGTTTTCACTCTCATAGCTTCTCATTGTTCCTCACAGAGGTCTCTCCTCGCCGACGGATGCTGAATGTCAGCCGTTCCGTGTGGAAGCAGGCCAACGTGGCCAGTGACCTGTGGGAGAAGTTGACGGCGCGCTGCGTGGACCGACACCGGCACATGGAGCGAACCCTGGAGAGGCTGCTGCAGATCCAAGCTGCCATGGAAGAGCTGGCAGCGGCTCTGGAGCAGGCGGAGGGAGTGAGGGATGCCTGGGAGCCTGTGGGAGATCTGTTCATCGACTCGCTGCAGGACCACATAGATGCTACAAAGGTAAAACCGTCACATGTTAACACTAGAATCGCCGTATTTATACGTTGCAGTTATTTAAATGTACTTATTACATGGCTGTCTGGAATATCCCATTGTAACTGGCCAGTTGTTATATTTAAAGGTATGTTTTTTTGAGATAACACAACTGCTAAATAGCACAGGCTAGGGCTGCACAATATCGATTGCAATGAAATCTGATATTGCAATTATTTTTTCAATATAAATTGCAATACAAATACAGCTTCACAGATGGTTTGAATAGTTTTGTTTACGTTTTTCTGGAGAATCTAATAGCATTAAGGTACATAAATTTAAACCCAAAACAAGTAAAAAACAAATCTTCCAGTCAACCCTCCCGGTTTTTCTGGGATCTCGCTTTTATCTTGTAAAGGTAATTTCCCGTATTTGTCCTGTATTTTCAATCTTCCTATAAAGGGTGTCAATAGACCAACCCAAGCTCATTCTGAAAACGTAGTCCCGCGGACGTTTATTGAGACAGTGAAATACATCCCGGGGGGTACAGTGTAACAGTGTAACATCAGCAGGCTCGAGATGCAGAGAGGAGTCGACCACGACAACCGGTTTTGAGTCCGGGGAAGAGCGGTTCCAGCAATCAGGTAAGACGAAAACAGAATCTCAAAAATTAAGTGAACGAGTTTCGTGACAGGGTGAGAACGCGGCGAAATCTGAAAACACGGTAGAAAAAAAACAAAACGTGGCTTTTATTTTTTTGGACAGCTTTTGTAAACTATCGCTCGGGTTTAGGGAAGCGAGCGGGCGGGCGGGTCGATCGGTAAAATTGGTTGGGTTCATGGAAGGAGGAGGGCGGGTCGGCCGATTGGCCTGTCGCGCAGTCAATCATCCGGTCAGTCGGACAGCGGCCTTCGGTGGGTTCACGCGAGAACAGCATCTAAGTTGCAAAAAAGCGCACAACAGCGGCCTCTCGCGGATTTGTGAAAACAAAAACTGCAGCCGTACGTACCCGCCGTGACGTATTCGGCGGTCTCCAGAAACGTCTGCGGGACTACATTTCCACAATGAGCCCGGTTGCAATAGACATTAAAAAGTCAATTTTCCCTATGCGCAACCCATACCGTTAGACCGCCAGGGGACACCCTTAGCTCTTAAATGTGAATCTGTTTTGTGCTTTTATTTTATTTATGCTTAAACACTTTGAAATAAATATGAATGTGGCGGTATTCCCTTCAGTTACAGCCGCCATCTTCCCTCCTAAGCAATCCTCAGAACAGTCATTTTACATCTAAACGTATCGATCTTGTGCAAATCGATCAACTCGCGCTGCTTCATTCGCGAGAATCGTGTCATTCGTGCCACCTCATTTGCACGTATCGCAGACTAGACTAGTCATCAAATACACAGTTATGAATTACTACACTTAACGTCTGTCTAATCTGTGGTTTTGATGACTAGTCTAGTTTGGATTGGGTTTGAAAGGGAATTGTGTCTGATTTGTTGACTACAGTAAATACATCACACTACTTCAGTTGGCAAAAGTATAAAATAACAGAACAAAGTCAGAATAATATTTCCACAAAGCAAAATCTCCCAGCATGTATGATGTTTTAAGTGAAGTTTGTAAGGTCATTTTAGTCATGCATGCTGTGCTTTACACGAGTCTTCACTCCATGATGCTTTCTGTTAAAATGAAAAACAATTTTTTAGTTCACCTGTAAGTTTGTGTTATTTTTTAAAGCAGCACATAAAAGTTTAAACTATTAAAAGGTTCGGATGTGCGCATGTGGCTCTTTAGATTTTGTCTAGGATGAATGTGCCCACATGAGAAACGCTATAATCTGATAATATTCTCACTGCAAACAGTGTAATGCGTATTTTAGTAGTAGCAAATTAAAACATATCTAAACTATATAGACTACCTGACAAAAGTCAGGTTGTGTTGTAGGAGCAACAAATAATAACTTAACTTCTAGTTGATCATTTGGAAAAGCATCAGAAGGTAGATTTTTCTAATGAATCATCTGTTGAACTGCATCCCAATCATCACAAATACTGCAGAACACCTATTGGAACCCACATGGACCCAAGATTCTCACAGAAAACAGTCAAGTTTGGTGAAGGAAAAATCATAGGTTTGGGGTTACATTCAGTATGGGGCTGTGCGAGAGATGTTCAGAGTGGATTACAACATCAACAGACTGAGATATCAAGACATTTGTGCTGCCCATTACATTACAAACCACAGGAGAGGGCAAATTCTTCAGCAGGATAGCGCTCCTCATACTTCAACCTCCACATCAAAGTTCCTGAAAGCAAAGAAGGTCAAGGTGCTCCAGGATTGGCCAGCCCAGTCATCAGACATGAACATTATTGAGCATGTCTGGGGTAAGATAAAGGACGAAATATTAAAAAATGAATCCAAAAAATCTTACTGATCTCTGGGTGTCCTACAAGAATGCTTTTTTGTCATTCCAGATAACTTTATTAATAAGTTATTTAATTCACTGCAGAGATGTATGGATGCAGTCCTCCAAGCTCATGGGAGTCATACACAATATTAATTATTTTTCCACTGCAGCATGACTTTATATTCTATACTGTACATATTTCTGTTTAGTGACAAGACATTTGTTTCAGCAAAGTCAGACCTTAATGTACTCATTAAATACTTAAAATCACGGCATGATCATATTTTATTTGGGTAAAATAAGCACAAGCTAGAGTCCTTTGCCGCTCATATAAGCCACTTCTGATACCAAATGATCAACTAGAAGTCAAGTTATTATTTCTGTTCCTAAAACTTGGATAAGCAACAAAACATTTGTCAGGTAATGTATTGAAGAGGTTAATAACCCAGATATTTCAAATTGCTATTAATTAACTCAACTCAGGTCATCCAAAATGTGGATAACTTTTCTTCCTTTGACTAAGTCATTAAATGTAGCTTTTATCTTGCTAGCTGCTGTGATGTCTTATCAACAGTTGACTTCTATATGTGCTGCTTGAAGCAGATGAAGTTAAAACGGTTCAGTGTGCATTTATATTTCTATAAATGTGTTTTATGGGCTGGTATTGATGTATAATGCGAAGTATACTGACAGACGGGTTTTTTTTACAGTCTATTTTCAGCTGTCAGTGGACCTCACAGCTTGCTCGATTTACTAATTGTAAGATTTTAAACAAGATTGTAATGAGACTCTCCACGGGCACACTTCTTTAATGGTACAGAAGGTCTTTCACTTTATTTCTCACTTCATTTCACTGTAGGGTATTAAGGGATTAAGCTAGTGATATTTAGAAGACTTTAAATTAATTGTACTGTGAATGTGTGATGTGATTTGCTTCTGCTGTGTATCTGTTTATATAATATGCCTTTTTAAAATTCAGAATATGTCCTTATATAAAAAGGTGACATTGCACTCACAATAGGATACAACTTATTTTTTTCAATAAAATGTTTCCTGTTTAATTCTATTATTAAATGTTATTTAGTGTAACAGTTTAAATGGATCACATTGTAGCACTAACATTCTAATTAATCTATTTTTCAATCTTTATACTTTGTCATTACCCTTTTATAACAATTTATAATTTAAACCACATTGTAAAAACATTCTTGCCAGTTTTTTAATTCAATCAAATGCACTTTTCTAGTCATCTTAACTTACAACAGCTGAACTAAAAAAAAAATAAGTTAAACTTTGTTTAATTGCTGAATATAAGTTAAACTAACATTTAAAGAAACATTTTTATCATTGCTTTGTGCCTTAACATTTTTTAACAGTGCACTAGGTTGTATAATAAGTCAGCAAAGATGTTTTTAATCCTTTAAAATAAGATGCAGTTTGATTTATCAGTTGCATATAGATGTATAGGACAATGGAAGACTATTTTACCCATATTATTATATTTCATTTTTAAATTATTTTAAAAATAAAAGTAGACAGTTTACTTTTTTCCTTTTTGACATTATCAGGTTATTTTAGTTTGAGGTTGTATTAGTGGTATGTTGTTTAGTCTGTGCTTATGTTTCACAAACAAAAACAGCATTTTGCAAATAAACACAACCTGCTTTGCAAAGAATCACTTGACTCACAAACAAACAGAAACCACTTTGCAAAAACAAATGTCACACCAGTGGTGTTAAAAAACAAATGTATTATAAATCATATTTCATAAATAAATATAGTCCATCTACATGTAGATGCATGCAGACATTGAACAAACACATCTAGAGCATACAACCTGCGTACCTGCAGATTTTCTCACAAATGCATCCAGACACATTTTGTCATAAATGCATTCATTCAGATTTTGTCACAAATGCATCCAAACAGATTTCCTCACAATTGCATTCATCTGGATTTTCTCACAAATCCATTCATTCACATTTCTCTCACAAGTGCACACATTCAGATTTTCTCACAAATCCATTCAGACAGTTTTTTTTTTCACAAATGCACTCAAATAAATTTTCTCACAAATGCATTTTTTTTCTCACAAATACATTCAGACAGATTTTCTCACACATGCACTCATTCAGATTTTCTCACACATGCACTTTCAGATTTTCTCACACTTGCACTCATTCAGGATTTTCTCACAAATGCACTCATTCAGATTTTCTCATAAATCTATTCATTCAGGATTTTCTCACAAATGCACTCATTCAGATTTTCTCACAAATCTATTAATTCGGGATTTTCTCATAAATGCACTCATTCAGATTTACTTACAAATGCTCTTAGATAGACTTTCTCACAAATGCACTCATTATGATTTTCTCAGAAATGCACTCATTCAGATTTTCTCACAAATGCACTCATTCAGATTTTCTCACAAATGCACTCATTCAGATTTTCTCTCAAAAGCTCTTAGATAGATTTTCTCACAAATGCACTCATTCAGATTTTCTCACAAATGCACTCATTCAGATTTTCTCTCAAAAGCTCTTAGATAGATTTTCTCACAAATGCACTCATTCAGATTTTCTCACAATGCTCTTAGATAGATTTTATCACAAA